AAAAAACTTTTTAATTTGGCGTCTGCTTTATCCAGAACTCCGCAAGTGGAAAAGCTTTAGTTTCATTTGGTTTAATTTTCTAAAAGGTCTTCTTTAAGGAACCTTTTTCTATCCGATTATCAATAGATTCATCAAAAAATAATCAGCAGACTAATCGATTTGCAAAATAGTCGTTAGTTGCAGCCCTGGTTACGATGTAAATTTAGGCTTTTTTTCCGGTCCTTATTTCAAATAGGTAAACAAAACAATAAATAATGATTATTGATTCTGACTGATGTTTACATTTGTTCTAAGTTATATGAGCGTCAGTATAATAAGACATTTAAAAAAGTTCATAACTGGCTGAGGTGAGATGTATTTGTTTTACAATTAGTTTAAGTAATTGCTGACCACTGATAGTTTTTAAATTATACCTTCCCCTTAAATCTCCATTTTTGCATTTACATTTTAGGACAGGGTCTATAGGATGCTAATATGTTGTAACTGTCCATTTATTTTACATTTTAATGTTAGATCTTTTTAATCTTGCAATATTTTTCATCAAACTGCCGTAATGCTAAGAAAGTGGCTGAATGTTCACTTCTGCAGTTGAAATGGTATGTGATACTATATGCTTACATCACAGGTATAGACATTTGTCACATAAAGTCACTGTAGTGCTTCTTTGATATATTTAATTAAGTGGGTTTGGTCATTGTAAAGAGCAAAGACATACAATTTTTATTTTTATTAGTGTTCTGTTTTGCTGCCTCTGCTGGTTTTTATTTGTAAAGATTAGGTTGATGGCCTTCTAACCTCAAGACTATCCACAGATATCTGGTTCCAGTTGTGGTAGAAACATTTAAAAAACTTTAGCATTTATATAAAGGGGTTAATAATGTAAATATTTTGACACATTTTTTTTTATAAATTAATAAAACAGATAAATATTTTGATCTGAAGTTGATGCTTTATTAGCATAAGTTTATTATCTTTTAAGAGATGACCATGAAACAAACTTCCTGGTTGAAAGTAGTTTTAAAGAGCAGGCCATTTAAATAATAATGTTAAAAGCTATACGACTGACAGAGGTGCAAACATGTTTGTAAAAGCAGAGAATATCTTCAAAGAAGGTGCAGAGTGATTTATATTTGCAATTCAACATTAAGCATCTGGAAACTTTTTTTTTTCGTGATGTGCATTTATCTTATATGCCTTTATAATGACCAAACTACGCAAGGGTGAACATTTACCACTTCCAAGATGAATTTTTGCACCTTTTTTAGTATTTCTGGAAGTCAGGTACAAACTGACAAACAAAAATATCTGTGGTGATTGTTACCAAAAATGAAGCATTGGTACAGTTCAAGATGATGGAGATATTCTGTGCACATATAAACTTATTTAAACTGTCCTAAGTAACAAAAGTGTATAGTTAATCCAGGTGGGCACAAATAAATGAAGCAAGACAGCAGACAATATAAAACTGAAGAAAATAACTGTGTTCCAATATTTCAATGTTGTGGCATGTTTATATGAAAAGATAGAATATCAAAAGATCATGTAAAGAGACTTGGGGGGGGGGGGGGGGGGGGTTGGCACATCTTTTTCTCCTGTAAACCACATGGCTTAGAACCTAATTTTTCTTATACGACCCATATAAATAGAATATAGAATGCACAATCTGTTGATTTATATAGGATGGAACCAAAACAGTTTTCATATTTTAACATTTGTATAATCTTCGTAAAAACATTTTAAAGATAAAGCCCATAATGTTCAAAAAATAGTTTTGTGGTTTCTTTATTTATTAAACCACAATTTTCCTCCTATTATGTTTATGAAAATTGTCTATAAAACTGTTCAGTTTTGGCAACAGATAAACAATTTCCTTTAGTAGTGCAAGTATAATTGTGTTTTACACATGACTCTGGAGCCAAAGTTTATTGAATCCTGGTCTAGGCTAAGAGAAAGGGTTTAAGGAGAACAGTTTTGTCTTCTAAAGAAAACCACTCGGCCTAAAGTCTCTGAAAACGGTGTGATATGATGATGTGATAAAATGCTTTGGTCTGAGCTAACCAAACAGGAAGTTTTGTTTACAACAACACATGTTTGGCACAAACACAACACTGGACTTGGAGGAAAAACACAATGTCCTCAGTGAAACATGAGAGTGGCAGCACCTTTTATTCTAACTTTCTTCTAACTTTTCTTCAGATAAAATGGAACAACAAACATTGACAGAAAGTTTTGTTTAATCTGAAACAAGACTTTTTTTATTGCAAAGGAAATTATGGAAAGAGTCAATCAGCTCTGCACTAAAATTGTTAGCTGTCGGAGAGAAATATGAAGTCGAAGAGTAATCTGGAAATGTCAAAGAATATGTCAAACTCAACAAAAGAATTACTGTTCGAGGAAAATTAGTTTTTGGATAGCTAAACTGTTGAAGTATATCTGACATAAACTCTGTGAGGTTTAAGATAAGAGATGTCTTTAAAATCTGTTAGATGTGGAGAATGTTTACAAGACAGAGTTGGCAAATATTGTCAAGTAAGTTTCTGAATTTCTGACACCCTCCCAAAGAAGAATTAATACTTAATTTGAGGATAAGGTGCTTTAGCAATACAGTAATGCTGCTTTAAAATGTTTTTATTACTGAGAATGCACTATACAATCTGGTTGTTGCAACTATTTATTTTAATGATGCAATGACTAATGCAACCTGCAAGCACAAGGTGCTCTGTTAGGGACATACAGAGTTATGGGTGTTTTAATGTATGACAAAGCTTGGTCATACATTAAAAAGCTTGACTGAAAAGAAGCTGAACTTAGAGAAATCTGATCATTTATTCAAATTTCCATCAAAACCAACCTTTCAGACACTTAGATGGGTATGGGGTATTGCGGTCTAACAAAAGAAGCCAAATGTCCCCCATTCCAAACAGGGTGACCACTTTGCGTGTTCCAGTTTGCATGTATTCAAAACAAAAACAAGGCTTCGTTGGGCTACTGTACACTCACCGGCCACTTTATTAGGTACCCCATGCTAGTAACGTGTTGGACCCCCTTTTGCCTTCAGAACTGCCTCAATTCTTCGTGGCATAGATTCAACAAGGTGCTGGAAGCATTCCTCAGGGAGTTTGGTCCATATTGACATGATGGCATCACACAGTTGCCACAGGTTTGTCGGCTGCACATCCATGATGCTAATCTCCCGTTCCACCACATCCCAAAGATGCTCCATTGGATTGAGATCTGGTGACTGTGGAGGCCATTTGAGTACAGTGAACTCATTGTCATGTTCAAGAAACCAGTCTGAGATGATTCCAGCTTTATGACATGGCACATTATCCTGCTGAAAGTAGCCATCAGAAGTTGGATACATTGTGGTCATAAAGGGATGGACATGGTCAGCAACAATACTCAGGTAGGCTGTGGCGTTGCAACGATGCTCAATTGGTACCAAGGGGCCTAAAGAGTGCCAAGAAAATATTCCCCACACCATGACACCACCACCACCAGCCTGAACCGTTGATACAAGGCAGAATGGACCCATGCTTTCATGTTGTAGACGCCAAATTCTGACCCTACCATCCGAATGTCGCAGCAGAAATCGAGACTCATCAGACCAGGCAACGTTTTTCCAATCTTCTATTGTCCAATTTCGATGAGCTTGTACAAATTGTAGCCTCAGTTTCCTGTTCTTAGCTGAAATAAGTGGCACCCGGTGTGGTGTTCTGCTGCTGTAGCCCATCTGCCTCAAAGTTCGACGTACTGTGCGTTCAGAGATGCTCTTCTGCCTACCTTGGTTGTAACGGGTGGTTATTTGAGTCACTGTTGCCCTTCTATCAGCTCGAACCAGTCTGGCCATTCTCCTCTGACCTCTGGCATCAACAAGGCATTTCCGCCCACAGATCCGCCGCTCACTGGATGTTTTTTCTTTTTCGGACCATTCTCTGTAAACCCTAGAGATGGTTGTGCGTGAAAATCCCAGTAGATCAGCAGTTTCTGAAATACTCAGACCAGCCCTTCTGGCACCAACAATCATGCCATGTTCAAAGTCACTCAAATCACCTTTCTTCCCCATACTGATGCTCGGTTTGAACTGCAGGAGATTGTCTTGACCATGTCTACATGCCTAAATGCACTGAGTTGCCGCCATGTGATTGGCTGCTTAGAAATTAAGTGTTAACGAGCAGTTGGACAGGTGTACCTAATAAAGTGGCTGGTGAGTGTATAAAAGCTTGAACTCAACACTATTCCTGACATTTTGAATTGAAAAAGCTTCCTGGATGGTGAAACGTCTTCATACTTGGAAACCATGTCCAGTGGATTGTTTATCATTTTTTGTGGTTATGACCTGGATGACTGAGAACCTTCACAAGCATAAATAGACTATATGATGAAAACTGGTTTAAAGAATAGATGGCAAAAAAAGAGTGAGGGAAGCCATCTGACAAAGAGCCAAAAAGGAAGTCAGCATTTTCCCGCTTCATTAATTCTAAAGCATTATAAACAAGTATTTTTTTGGTGAAATATGTTGTACTCAAATTACCATATTGGTGCTGGACAGGTCAAGAAACCTCAGTTTGGAAAAAGTATGGGAATTTGAAATTCAAATCAGTTCCAAAATCCTTTATTAATGCCAAAGTGAAACAAAATACTCATATTTAAAATAACTACTCATGCTTTTATCAAACTTACAGAAAAATATTGTTGGTTGATGAAGTTGTAGACCAGAAAATATAGAATTTTAAAGCTTAGATGAATATATTGATTACAAAAATATCCTTTCAAAACGATCAGAATTCAACCTAACCTATCAGACCCAGTAGAGGGGAGGTAGGCTAATCAGAAAATCTGTCCATTACGTAAACTATTTATGTCAGGAATGTTGCAGGAAACAAGGGCAATCTATCCTGTAAATAAGAAGAAGACGTCAACACAGATACAGCTGATAGAACGATGGAGAAGGAAATGCCACATCAAGCTAATTATCATCAACCATATCTGTTCTCCAGGAACTGGGGAGAGCGGGAAAACCACCTTCATCAGGCAGATGAAGATCATCCATGGCCGAGGCTTCTCAGAAGAGGAGAGAAAGTCCTTCGCTAAGTGTATCTACCAGAATATCTTCACTGCCATCAAAGCCATGACTGGAGCCATGACCACACTAAGAATTCCTTATGCCAACCCTGAGAATGAGGTAGACTCATGCATCCCACACATAAACCTCTGCCAGCATAAAAACACACAGATGCACTTAGTTACAAATATAAACACAAGTGTGATGGCATCCGATTAAAAATAGTACTAAGGAATATTGGTTTGTGCATGAAAAATAATTTAATACGCTAAAACACTTGCACATCATGCCGTAGTGTCAAAATATCCTGAAGTATGACCACAAAGACAGAGAGGCTACAGCCTTGGACTAAGCAAAGGATAGAAGAGGGTGAAAGGTGTTTCTTTTTAATTCAGAAGAGTCAGTATAACCTAGGGGTGGAACGGTTCACAAAATCCACGGTTCGGTTCGGATCACGGTTACGTGGTCACGGTTTTCGGTTCAGGATATGTTTATTGTTACACCGAAAAAAAAAATAATAATAAAAAACTATAAAAATGAATGAAAATGTTTATTTTAAATGAAATTAATGAAAAAATCAAAAAAATTAATGAATTGTAATTATTTTTAATAATTCGCGGAAACCATAGATCATTTCCACATGTTTTGCTGCTTTGAATTTAATCATCTCGCGCATGCTCTCTACGATCTACAAGGAACTCTACTACAAGGACGGGAGCCGCTGTATACTTTGCTTTGTGCAGGCGGTCTGGAGCGCAGCGGAGCGCTGAGCATGACATGTTGGTCATGTTGCTGTTAGCATAAACAAAACGTGTTGCACAATGCTTGCACACTGTTGCACTTTTATCCAGAAAAAAGTGCAACACTTTCTTTCCGCCGTCATCGTAGGTCACTCTAAATGCTAAGTGGTCCCATACAGCAGACCTATAAAGTGCTGCTGGCGCGTCTTCCAACTCCTGTTCTTTCCCACTCGCCAGTCCGACACAATTCTCCACAACAACAGATTTTTTTCTGCTACACCCGGCTACGCTGCTTCGCTTCTTCTTCATGTTTACTACTGGTGGTTGGCTTTGGTCGCAGTAGCGCCACCTTCTGCTCTGGAGTGTAAACGCTTCACCTTATGAGAAAAAGGAGCAGCGCATGAACCGAACGCAACACACGCAAACCGAACCGAGACAGTCGAACCGAACGGTTTGGACGGTTTTCAAAAACCGTTCCATCCCTAGTATAACCTGTCTCTTTGTAAACATTAGCCTACTCTTTTGCTGACCATGAGTTGTCTGTTCTGCAGAAGCTTGCCAAGTGGCTGCAGGATGTAAACACATTGCACATCATTCACCTGGAGAGAGCATATGTGGATGCAATCCGTCGCCTCTGGTTGGACGGGGGAATACGGATCTGCTACAGCCGCCGCTGCGAGTACCAGCTCCTGGACTCCACTGAATAGTGAGTAAAAACCTAAAACGACTTTGAAACCGGATCTTCATGATTTAACAGTGTCTCTGCATTCTAGAATATCAATGAAAACACTTTTTTATTCAGGTACAGTTAATGGCACCTCTGATAAAGTTAAAAAGGCAGTTGGAGGTTGCTACTGCAATAATTAAAGAATGTGACAGGACAAGCCGACCCGGGGATGTTTTAAGTTATTTAAAAATAAGAGGATTTGAGTTATTTACAGGTCCTGATATAGTGGGATGTCAGCTTCCAGTGATGTCAAACACTGTTATTTCACTACCTTTGCATACTTTACCTGCAACAGCAGTGCTTGTATACAAACTGCACAGTTTTTCTAGGTTCTAAGGTAATTGACAGCACTGCATTACAATGTTTGTGTTACATGATGCACTGCACAAACATCTTTTGGATGTGAAATAAAATATGAAACCTTAACTCAAAGTTATTGTCTTAAACTTGATATTTTAGCTGTGCTTTTGATTTTGCACCCATCATATTTGCATGCAATTTTAAATTGTTGGTTATTGTAATATTGTAATTCAATCCCTAAAAATGATGGTCATTCTTCAGGTTATTGCCTTCAAAGAGTTTTTGTATTGACATTTAAAATAGAAAATCCATAATTATGGAATAACTGTGGGGTTGATGTTTGGGAAGAGTGCAAACTCATTGGGAGGGGTTAGCCAAGGACCACTCTCGCCTTGGGATCCAAAGAACCTAGAGCTGGCCCTGTGCGTATCATATCTTACCGGTCCACTTAAAACACTGTGAAACAAGACTTTGATCTACAGCTCCTCTCTCAGTGACCTCACCTTCAGGTTACCTTCAATTATTGTAATGATGGAGTGCAGGGACAGTGTTATGGAGTCGAGCAAACTGTTACCTTAAAAGAAAACAGATATTGTGAAACTTAGTGCACATTTGGATTTATTGTCATTTTTTGGATTTTTTTTTTTTCAAAACAGCACAGCACAGCACAGCACATGAACTTCCTTTTATCTAATCGCATCTTTGTAAGTAGCAATATTCTAGGCACACAGATTTTTGCCCAACATGCATTTCAAAAGCCTGGTATGAGCCAAAAAAAAGCCGCTTTATGAACCAGTTGCAGGTTTGCCCCCTTTCCGAAATCTAAATGTGGCCAGATGAGATTTTAATCAAACAAAAGCCGGGTTTAAACACATAATTATTCATTTTAAACCTCTAAAACTGTCACTTAGAGCACAAAGTGGTTACTTTAAATCTTCAACTCGCACATTTTGCAATGAAAATTCAAATCAAATTTTTTATTTTTTTTTTGATTTGCTGTTTTCTCAGTTTGTTTGCATTAAATTTAGATTATTAACAAGTAAAAGCATTTTAAAACATTCTTATTTTAAAGTCTGTAGAGAAACATACAGTTTCAGCTTACAATGCACTTTTTTTTTTTTCAAAACTGATATCCAGCTGCTCTTCAAAAGGAAAACAAGAAAAAAAACTCAAAGCAAAGAAGTAAAAAAAAAAAAACCTTACTAGAACAAAGACAATAAAAAGGCCAGATGGGTTTCAAGCGGCTAAAGAAGCTCACACAAATGAGCCTGGATGTAAATGATTAGTGGTATATTCTATAGACAGCCTTTTGACGCACTGATCTCTATTAAAATAAATCTAGTAAAGGAAGCCCTGCTTTGTTTTATGTATGAATATAAATATATATATATATATATATATATATATATATATATATATATTTATATTAACATGGCTGTTACAGGAAGTGCTGTGGGTAGAGCATAAGTTTCTCCTGTGCAACGTCTTAAAATGCTACTAGGGTAAACAAAGAGCTTTGTTAATAGTATAAGAGGGTTACAAACAATATTAATGGAATATAAGTGAACAAAGTCAATGAACAAAGACAAAGACTAGTTGGGTCTTAAGTGGCAAAAGCAGCTCATACAAATGAGCCTAGATGTAAATGATTAGTGTTAAATTCTTTAGGCACCCATTCTCCGATGTCTTAAAATGCTCAAAGAGCACAAAGAGCTATAGTAAATAATAGTAAAGAGAGTTACATAAAATATTAATGGAATATAATTAGTGTTTATGTATTTACAGGTGCAAATTCACATTTAGTCTGATCTAAATGATGATTAATAGTTTTAAACCAATAGAAACTAAAATTTAACTTATCATGAAATACAAATAGAAAAGCAAATTTATAAGAGAAATATTATGTTTCTACAATGTGTGACCCCCGCAGTTAAGAAAAGACAGTTGAACAGTTGACTCCACCACTACAGGTCATAAAGAAGCTGGCTGTTCAAAGTGCTAAATGCAAGCATTTCAATGGGCAGATGAATGCAGATCAAGGGTGTGGTTGAAAAAAGTGACCAAGCAACAACCCTAAAAGGATTGCAGCAGGAGAGTCACTTTACACAGATGAAACCAAAACCCAGGCCACAGCAGTTAATTTGTTGTAGTATCATGGACCAAGGAAATAATCAGAAACGTCATACTTGAAATAGACTGAACTGCAGTCCAAAGCTTTATTATCCATTTCATTGTAAAGCAAAGGTCCTGGAATCTGAAGGATGAGTAGTACAGAATCTATACAGCCTACGTCTAAAGATACAGAGAATGTAGTTTTCTGTTGAGAGGAAGATGACATAAATTACTAGATTAGTCTGGGCTGCCTGATCACCACGTAGTACCATGGGTGGGTCCTGTCCATTACACATTGCTGTTAGGCCATTAATGTAAATAAATTCACATAAGCAAAGTACAGTAAAGGACATCAAACATAACTGACTTCTCACATAACTGACATTTCTCCAGTGGTGGAAGAAGTATTTAAAAGTAGTACTTAAGCAAAGGTATTGATACTCATAGTCAAATGTTACTCAACTATAAGTAAAGGGCTGGTTATACTCCTGCAGCAGTGTGTCGCAGTGAGCTTGTGGCAGATATTTTTGATTTATGTCCAATTTTGAAGCGCGGGCTGCGCTATGTTATGTCACGCCACAGCGCAAGAGGGACAATCAGGAACTAGCTGAGAGGAGGTGGAGGCAAGTTTGTGTGACAACAGAGGGACCTGAGGGCGAAAAAGATCGGGGATCCAAGGGTCCTAGCGTTCTCACGCACCTCGTTCCGCAATGGCGGAACAAGCCGGTAAGGTACCAACCAGGAAATATGCATAGAGTAGAGCGGATGTAGATTTGACCAATCAGAGGCCTCATCTGGTTGGTCACCTACAATTTTGGAGAGGTGCAGTAGAGTGGCTGCGGCAGGGGCGGGGGCACATTGGCATTCACTGCGACACACGCAGGTTATTTTCAAATCATAGTTTCTGAGTATAAACCAGCCTTTAGTTACTCGCTCAAACTTAGTTACTCTACTTAAAGCTGCAGTCTGTAACATTGAGGAGAGAGCAGACTTCGACTGAAAATTTGAAGAAAAACAGGTTTCACGCCACTCCCCCACCCTCTCTGCTTCACTCATGCCCCACCTCCAAGCTCCACCCCTCTCACAGCATCTGCGCGGCTACCGCATGCGACCAGAAGGGGGGGGCGGGATTCAGCGCGTGTGAGCTGTGATTGACACTCCATCAGACGCTCCTCTGGCTGTGATTGGTTGTTTTGACTCGTCCCGAATTATTCTTTCCAGATTGAAATACAGGCAGTAGGCGGTACCAATTGAAGCAGTTTTTTTCACAGGTTACATATCACATGTGCTGCTGTCTGGGCATAGGGACAGTTTTAGCCAATATGACAAAAAAGTGATTTTTAAAAACTTACAGACTTCAGCTTTAAGTTAAAGTTTTGAAATATTCACTTTTAAAAATACTTAAGTATTCAAAAGTACAAATAAAATTTTCTATACATTTCTGTGTAATTTTCAAAGAGACTTGTAACTTTCAGAAACCACCTGATGCATTGATTTATAGAACAACTCTGGTACCAATTCAACACAACTTCAACATAATAAAACACAAAAAACACAAAAAATAAGGACAGCTATTTTGATTATTATTTCTTATTTAAAAACAAAGTAAAAAACAAACCAGATTGTCTTGATTCTCCACTTTTACTATGGAATAGAAGCTAAGGGTTGAATCTATTACCACAAAGAAACTACAACTCTGCTTTTAGAACTCCTCCTACTGAACAACTTGGCCACATGGCAACAATTAACACCTTAATTAAATGTATAAACTACAAATAATAACTACCCTGAGTTTCTCACATTTGTGGAACGTCATGCAAATCTCTAAAACAATCCAAGGGGTTCTTAAGTAACAAGCTTCTACAGTAACAAGGAGGAATATTTGATTTTGAAATGTAGTGGAGTGAAAGTTCGAAGTTCCTCCCCTAAAAAGGACTCAAGTAAAGTAGACACTTAAAAAAATTACTTAAGTACAATGATCAAGTAAATGTACTTTGTTACTTTCCACCACTGCATTTCTATATTAAAAAAATATTTTTAGATTTTATATAATATAAACATTTTGAAAAACTCACCATTTATTGTTAGAACTAATAGAAATAAAAACTTTTAATGATTTTCTGTTTAATTAATAAATATAAAAGTTTCGTTCTTTTGAAGAAAAATCCTAAAATGGCCCGTATTAAGTAATACCGTACATTGGATAGTACATTGGATACCTAATTCTAGAGCTGGCTCTGGGTTCGACCCTAAATTAGAGCTGTGTTGGGATAAGCTTAAACTTTGAAGACCTTAAAGAAAAAGGAGTCAAAACAGAACATATATTTTCATTAGCATTCAGGTAAAAAATAAATAAACACAAATATAATAGATTAGCGACAAGACTCATATGTGGAAGTTGCGGGGCCTTTTTATCTTATACTATACTATACTAATGTCAGCTTTAAGCTTTCAGGATCACAGATTTGAAGCATTAAATAACGCCCTGGATATTGCATTTTACAGAGATTCCTTCCAGCCTTTCCTGCTGGCTGAGACAATACTGGTGTTCTATGCGTTCCCACCTCCTGATTCTGATTTTGTTTTATTTTCAAACCTAATAACTTTATAAGTTGCAGTTTTCAGTTTCTTGTTGATTGTTTGGTCTATTGAATATATTTTGTTGTCAGGATAGAACAAGAATTAATGACCATGCCTCTGTAGAAAATGATTACCAGATTATATAACAATTATAAAATCCTAGTTTGTAAAATCAAATTCATTTGGTTTTCCTGTTCTATTTTAGTTTCTTGTCACATTTTATTTAAAAAATATGTCTATTTGTTGATTTTTCTTCTTTTTTTGTCTAAATAAGCTCAATGCTTTGAGATTTGCTGTATTTCCAACACTAGAGGGCGTATTTTTTTACCAACTAACTTTTTTTGAATGGGTTTAAATGTCACAGTGCACAGTTACAGTCTTAATAGCTGTTTGTAATCTTCCTGTAATGTATAGCAGTAGGTGTCATCCTTGCAGGATCAGAAAAAAGCCTGGCTCCAGCCTGCCCCTCTAGTCTCTGTTTTCTTTTGCCGTGCTGTCCCGTGTTTACCCACCAGCTCTGTCATCATGATGTGAGCACGATAAGAGACAGTCAGTCAACATTAGCTAATGACAGCTTGTTTCAACACAGGCCATAAAGCTGCTGTTTGCACACAGCAGCCCTCACCCACCACTTTCTTTTAGTATTTTTTAATCACACCTTTTGCTTCCCTCACTAATTCACCACATGTCCTGTCACGTCCAGTTTGTTTCACACAAACTAGATTCTTGCAAAGTAAACAGAGCCAGAGGTTTTTAATAATGTTTAGTTGTCTGCACTCCACTTTAAATTCATTCTCTCCTCCTTCAGCTACCTGAGCAACTTGGAGCGGATCTCGGCCCACGACTACATCCCCACAGAGCAGGACGTGCTGCGTGTTCGGTTTCCCACCACGGGCATCCACGACTACTCATTCACCATCAAGAACATCACGCTAAGGTGGCTGAGCCTCACATTACTGCCCTCTCACAGGGACTAATCCAATACCAACACTATTCAAGGCACTGTGAATAAAATACTGTTGAGGCTTTGTCTGCCTAGACACAGCAGGATCACATTTCTAATTGCATCTCTGTTCTTGCTAAGAGGAGAACTGTCCATTTTGGGTTTGATTTTGATCCAAATCCCATAAAGGAGGATCTCTGCTCTAGAGATTTAAACTTCATCTGTAAAACAAATATTAAGCTTCTTTAATAATCCTGACTGACCATGTTTGTTTTTGCTTTGAGCTCACTTCCTTCTTTTTTTATTTGTTTGGGAAAACTGGAGGAGGTGCTTGCTTGTCTTCTGAAACAGCACAAGTTGCCAGTGTGAATAGCATCCTAAAATTACTGACTGGTGTTCTTCACTTTGTCAGAGCTGGGAGAGGCCATCACGACATTTTAATAACACAATAATAGCTATTGTAACTATTTTATATAACAAAAACTCAATTCTTTTGATGAATATTTACGTCCATATTAGCAGAACCTTATAAACATTTTTTTATTGTAATAACTGATCCTTTTATTTTTTTTACTGATCAATATTTGGGTCACTCTTTCTATCGATGAAAACTGATTCTTTAACTCTCTTTCTCCTGTCATGGTTATAGACAGCCATCCTCTCTGAATACTTTCCTTTTCGGCCTTAATTGCGTCAGCCCTTCTTTGTTTAATAATTTCCCTTCCTTCCTTCCTTCCTTATTCTAGATGCATACAGGTTTTTTTTTTTTACTTTCCATCCTTCTTCCCTCCCTCAGGATTGTGGATGTTGGCGGTCAGAAGTCGGAGCGTCGGAAGTGGATCCACTGCTTTGAAAACGTCACCTCCCTCATCTTCCTGGCCTCCCTCAGCGAGTACGACCAGGTCCTAGAGGAGAGAGAGAGCATTGTAAGAGCTTTTTCAGTTTAGTTCTTGTTTTGTTTGACATTAAAAATAATTATTTCAGCTCTTTGTTTTAATTTAAAAATCCCTTGAACTGCAGTTTGAAGAAGAAGCCTATTAAGTTACACTTCAGACGTTGCGCATTGGTAAAACAGGGTTAAGGTCTGGAAATTTCTGACCTGATTATGACCCTGAACTTTGAAAAGTATAACATTTCCTGGACTTTTCAACAATTGAAGTCATTCTAGTTGTACATTTTTAGCGTTTGAAAAAAAACAAAACAAACATTTTTGTGCATCTTGTGCAATACTTTACAAAAATATTACCTTTTGTCATCTTACCCCTCAAACTGTTCTGTATTTAAGTGGGATTGTCTGTCAATAACCAACTAAAAGAAGTGAGTGACTATGAGATTTGATACCTACTTAAAAAAAACACAGACTGCATTCTGAAAGTTGTTGCATGTTTCTATGCAGTTTGTTTGTATTTTAATATACCATTAAATTACATTAGTTGCAGTTAAACTACAAGCAAACTGCAAAAAAAAAAAACAGAAAATACAATTCATTATTTAAAAGAGTACGATCTAGACTGTTTAATAATGCTCAGACCTTATATACTGTAGTTTGAGAAGCTGACAAATCTTAGCATTTGACGCTCCTTAAATCTTCTAACCAGTCCAACAACAACCATGCAGGCTGAAATCAGAGGATATGACAGGCTGTATAAGGCTCCACCTTTGAAAACGTACTGTATGCTTCCCGAACATCCAGACTAATCAGTGCATCTAAATTATATGAAATTATACCGAAGCTGTTGAAGACCCAGACTGTCGTGCAATGGTCAAAATAATAAAATAATGATAATAATGCACTCTTTATTTATACAAATCCCAAAGTGCTACATAGTAAATCAGTTAAGTGCTAACTAAAAATGAATGGAGAGCATGAAAAAAGAAAGTAAAAAAAAAACAGATAAAATAAACAAAGACAGTAAATAAAAGAGCAAGAGTTTAGTGAAAAGCTCTCCTTTAAAGGTGTGTTTTAAGACCTAATAAAAAACATCCAGAGTCTGTGAGGGCCTCGTTGTCCGGGAGAGCTTTCCACACCCTGGGAGGAGCTGAGCAGAAAGCCCGATCTCCCATTGTACAGAGCTTCATCCTTAACTTCAGCAGCGTTGCCCCTGATATAAAGCAGATACTTATCTTTAATAATTGCTCATTTACAGACCCATGTCAGATGGGGAACCAACTCATGGTAACTGAGATGTTTAGAAACTGTTGATCCTTTTAAATTTGCAGCTTTTTATCCATTTTCATACATTATTATTATTATTATTATACATTATTACTAGATCAGTGCATTTTTTGATTGTCTCCTTTTCTGTTGACAGTTATGTCTCAGCTTGTTAATGTAATTTTAGTATTTCTGTTCTTTTTTGTAATTACATCCTTTTACCCGCAGATGCCACTGCTGCACAACACTTCTCTTCTCCATTGCTCCTTTGTTGATCTCTTCTTCCCTCTCAGAATGTAACTAACACGGTTATCTCTCCCAGACACTTTTTGGTCGCCTACAGCATTTATTACCCTCCATGTTGGTCTGCATCCTTCATGCTCATATTCTTCCACTGCTATGTGTTTCAATATTTCCTAACTCCAGCTTCACCAAAACAAAGCATGCAAAATATTCAGGCTTATAGTTAGAAACTTATATGATTCTTGTGAATTTGTTTCAATAAAAACAATGAAATAAATGTGATTCTATAAAAGTATGTATTGATTCTGTTTTTCAGAACCGTATGGATGAAAGTTTGGCTCTGTTCTACACCACCATCCATTCTGCCTGGTTCCAGAACACCTCCATCATCCTCTTCCTCAACAAGACAGATATCCTGGAGAACAAGATTAAGACATCTGATCTGAATAAATACTTCCCAGTTTTCACAGGTTAGTTAGTAGATTTGCTTTCAGTTTTCACTTATCACGATAAATACAATGCTACAATTTAAATTATTAATTGGCTATTAATGATCTTTTAGGTAAGTGTGTGTTCGGTAAAAGATAATATGAGGCTCCCAGCTGTTATTTTTACCCAAATGCTTAAACAGCTGTTAGCTCTACTGATCTTATTTTGTTTGGGTGTTTATGTGTGTGGGTGGATTTGAGTTGAAATTGACATTAATGGTCTGAAACTTTTAACCAGGGAATCACTTTGGTGAAGCTTTCAGCAGATGTTCAAACATCCAGAGCAGAAATTACACCAACATTGAGTCAGAGTGCGGTTATCAGTCAATTTCAGAGCCATCAGCGAGCACAGTGGCAGCTGTTTATTCTCATCACAGAGCGTGCAGGACCGCTGCAGTGACATGAGGACTGTGATGATGTTGTCCTCTAGCCAATTTTACTTTGACTTACAACCATCTCACCACAGTCTGGAGAAATAATGAATTATTCACCAGAAATACTGACAACATGCTTTCAGCCCCACTGTGACTCCTCCTTTCTTTTCTTTATTTGTTTCGGTCAAAATGATCTTTCCTCCCTTCTTCCTTCCTCTGTTCTTTACATTTTATGATCTTTATCTTTTTCTTCTTTTTCTACCCTTCCTTCTGACACCTACTTTTTTTTTCCATCTGTTCCTTTATATTTTTCATAACCGCCTTCTCCTTTGTTTCTTACATTTTTATCTTTTCTTTCTATTCATCTGTCCGTCACTTAATTTATTCTTTTTTTCTTATATGTTTATCTCTGTTCTTTTTCCTTTTCGTTTCATTCTTCATTTTTCTTCTGGACTTACTACTTTACTATATATTTTCTTCTCATTTTCATTTTCTTAGCTTCATTGTCTGGTACCTTTATTTTGCCTTTTTCCTTATAATTAATCTTTTCTACATTCTTCTTTGCTCCATTGTTTTCTTTGTATCAACCTGTCCTACATCCTTTCTTCCCAGCCCAGTTTCTTTCTTATTCCTTCCTTCTTCATTTTATCCTTCCTTCCTTCTTTCATTGCTTTTTACTTCCGATATCTACTTTCTTTTTAGCTTCTTTCCACAGTTCTTACTCTTCTTCCCTTTCTGACATTTTTCCCCTCTATCCTTAATCATGCTTGCCCTTTTCTTCTTTGCTTGTTTACTTCTCTGCCCGCTCTTTAATTTTGCCCTCTCTTCTTTCTTTATTTTCCTGTCTAACATATTTCTTTCTCTCTTCTTTTCAACATTTTTAGTTATCCATCTTGACTGAATTTGTTCCTTTTATCAACCCTTTCTACATATTTTATTTCCTTTCCTTATTTACTTATGCCCTGCCTTTCTTTTCATCTTAAGTAATAAATATGTGTGTTTAGGTGCTTTGATGAGCTTTGCTTAGGTTCTGCTGGTGCAAAAAGGCTGCATAGTGTCTCATCACACTCCCCACAACTACATCACCTCCACCCTCTCTCCCTCTGTTTCCCTTGGCAACTACACACAGGTACTTTGTTCCCAGTGAGCCCTGCACCACCACCTGAACACCCCCCTTCAGGTGTGCTCTATGTATTAGCTGTTTTTTTTTGTTAGTTCGGCTAGATTAGGGTTAGGTTTAGTGACTGTGAATGAACACTAGTGTGCCTCTGTGCACCCACTCTGTTTTACTGGCAGCATTAGCAGCGTAAAATAATGACTCATACAGGGTCAAGCTTCTTGATGTCAATTTAACCTTAATGACAACTCTGAGCAGCTCCTACCACTGGCTGCTGTTTGCTGCTAATGCTGTTGTGTTCCTGTGTGGCTATTATTACTGCTGCTGTAACTGCATTTGAAAGCCCAGCTGTTAAGTAGCTCTGCTCCCTGACGCTGTTCTCCAATGGTGGGAAACTTACTCTGGAGCAAAACAAAAAAAAGAACCCGATCATAATAAAAGCATTTCATTCAGCTTTTACTTTGTTCATTTTATGCATGTTTTGAATCTTACCGTAATAAAAACACAGTAAAACCCAATTAGAAGATCAAAGATTTTATACTTAATCTTTCCGATCCTTGAACTTGATCAAAACAAAATACTAAGCAACAGCTGAAAATATATGAGGCTAGTTTTCATCTTTTTTTACCCTGCTGATTCATACTGGGGGCCCAGGGGTGTCCAGGGGTTTTTCGTGTTCTGATTCTTGGTCTTGTAACACAGGTGGATAGAAAAATGTGCATAGAAGCTGCAAGAAACCTCACTGTTGGTCTAAGTATCACTGCAATATCCCAAAATAACCACCTGGACTTCAACATTGATAACTAATTATTTAAGTACGATGCATTCGGAATCTAAGTGTAATTTACACATGTGGACTAATTTGTGGGTACTCCTCATTTAATGGAAGAAAACTCCATAGAAATAAGTTGAATAAAATAGAAGTCACACTATGCTTTTCAACCAAACTTTAAAAGAATAACAATAAAAAAAAAACTTGAAAAGGCCTGTTAAAGATGTATTTTGGCCCACTCTTTATGAGCAAACTGTTCCAGCCGTTTGAAGGACAACGTGTTTCAGCTGCTTCCAAAGATGCTCAATAGGATTTAGGTCAGGGATAATTGAAGGCCACTTCAGAATAGTCCAATGTTTCCTCTTAGCCATTCTTGGCTGTTTTTAGCTCTTGACCATAACAGACCATAACAGAACTTCTTCCATGTTTCAGAGTATGAGCAGTGTTCTTTTCTTTATATGCTTCATCTTTCCTTCTGTGAACATAGAGCTGATATGCTTTGGCAAAGAGTTCCAATTTCGTCTCAACTGTCCAAAGGATATTTTCCCTGAAGCTTTGTTGCTTGTTAACATTTAGTTTTTGGCCTTTTCCAGTTTTTTTTGTGTCCTGCACGGTCATCTTCCATTAAGTCAACTTTTGCTAGAACAACATATGGTGTGATCTGACACTGATTTTTCTTGAGGTTCAAGTTTACCTTTAAACCCTTTAGATGTTTTTCTTGGCTCTTTTATTACCATACATATGATCTGTCTCTTTAATTTGTCATCACTTTCCTCCCAAAGAGATTGGCTACAGTCCCTTGGATCTTAAATCTCTTAAAAGTATGTGCAACTGCAGTCATAGAAACATCAAGCTGCTTGGAGATGTTCCTATAGTTTTTACTTTTACCAAGCTTATTATTTTCTTTCTAATCTCTTGAGAGAACCCTTTCCTTTACTTCCTCTTGTCCATATTGAGTTTGTTACACACCGTGCCACCAATAGCACAGTGACTCCCTGTAGCCTTATATGTATATAGGCTCAATGATTGATTGCATGATTGAAGACATCTTTGATTCTAATTAGTGGACGCACCTTGGTTTAACATGTCTCATTATAGTACATATATAGTATACTTTTATAGTGGTGCCTTTTTTCATCAGTTTGTTATTTTTTGTGTAATTGGTCTCCCCTGTTCCTGATGAAGAGCCACAGTTGGTGGTCTTTCCTGTTCCAGATTGGGAGCCACAGTCGGTGGTCTCCCCTGTTCCTGACCGGGAGCCGCAATCGGCGGGCTCCCCTGTTCCTGACCGGGAGCCGCAATCGGCGGGCTCCCCTGTTCCAGACCCATAGCCGCAATCGGCGGGCTCCCCTGTTCCAGACCCGGAGCCGCAATCGGCGGGCTCCCCTGTTACAGTCCAGGAGCTGCAGTCGGTGGGCTCCTCAGACCCTGTTCCAGAGCCGCAGTCGGCAGTCTCCTCAGAGCCTCCTCCAGAGCCGCAGTCGGCGGTCGCTACAGAGCCTGTTCCTGAGCTGCCGAAGAGGGGACGGGGTACCCCGTGGGGGTACCTACTGAAGTTTTGGCGTCATCCTCCTGAGAAGCAGCTTCGCCTCCGGCCCCGCGGCAGACCCCCAGAGCGTCAGCTTCGCCTCCGGCCCCGCGGCAGACCCCCGGAGCGTCAGCTTCGCCTCCGGCCCCGCGGCAGAACCCCGGAGCGTCGGCTTCGCCTTCGGCCCCGCGGCAGACCCCCGGAGCGTCGGCTTCGCCTTTGGCCCCGTGGCAGACCCCCAGAGCGTCAACTTCGCCTCCGACCCCGCAGCCGGCCACCTAAGACTCTGCTCCGTTGCCGGATCCTCGGCCGGCATCCAGAACCTCTGCCATGCCTCCGGCCCGGCAGTGGTCCCCCTAAGACGCTGCTTCGTCTCCAGCCCCATGGTCGGCCTCCTGAGCATCTGTCTCGCCTCCGGCCCAGCGGTAGGCCCCCTGAGCATCTGCTACGCCTCCGCTGCCGGTCCCTTGGCCGGCCACCTGAGAATCTGTCCCGCTGCCGGTCCCTTGGTCGGCCACCTGAGACTCTGTCCCCCTGCCGGTCCCACTACCGGCCGCCTGAGACGTTGCCCAAGAAATCGTCTGGGTTTTCTTTTGTTTTCATCCACCGTAAGTGGATCGTTTTTTGTTCTGGACCCTGTTTTTGTTTTTGCCCTTCTGGCCTGTTTTCCCCTTCGCCCACTCTGGGTGGGTTGTTTTTTGTTTTCTGGACTCTGTTTTTTGTTGTTCCTGGCCCTCCTCGCCCTAGTGCCCCCTCCGCCCGCCCTGGGTGGGTTGTTTTTTGTTTATTTTTTGGACTTTTTCAGAGGGTGTCTGGAATCCGCCCTTGAGGGGGGGGCACTGTTGGGATCCTCAGGCTTGCCCACCAGAGGGCGCCGAGGATCCTCTTCTGTCTCTTGTTATTGTCTTTTAGGACTGGAGTTACTGTTGGGATCTGGAGATTACCCTCTGTCTCCAGCAGAGTGCGCCGTGGGTCTCCTAGGGCTGGAGTCTTCCAGCACACCTGTCGTTCATCTACTCATCAGAAGACCTCCCCTTTATAAGTTCCTGCCAGACCTTGCTTCCACGCCGCAGTGTTGATCTTAGTTTGGAAACCTGTCGCTAGTCTGAAGCTCTGGATGAGCTGCCTCACTGGAAACCTGTCTCTGGCCTGAAGCTCTGGGAGAGCTGTCTCACAGGAAACCTGTCTCTAGCCTGAAGCTCTAGGTGAGCCTAACCTGCTAATCTGCCCTGGTGAGCCAACCTGAAGATTCCTATGTGGATTTAACCTGAAGACTTCTGTGTGGAGTTTACCTGAAGATTCCTATGTGGAATCAGCCTGAAGATCCTATGTGGATATTCCCTGTTGTTCTCTGCAATGAGCTGGAAGCTCAGCCTGAAGAATCCTATGTGAATATTCCCTGTTGTTCTCTGCAGTGAGCTAGAAGCTCAGATCAAGGTCTGCCATGCTAAGCCTGAAGCTAGACGCTTAGCCTCTCATGAACTCTGCTAACCAAGAGTCTCCGGTCCCAGTCAAGACTTCAGTGAACCAGTCTCAGAACTTATTTACGATCTCATGTTCAGAACTTTTAATAAACATTTTAACTTTTTCCCTGCCTTCTCCGTGTGTGTTCTGCATATGGGCTTGCTCCTTTGATCCCTCATGACAGTTGCTAATGACCTCTCAGCTCATCTTTACACTTTGCTCTGGATCCAACGGTTTTCAAAACGCTAATGCTCTAATTCTATAAACAGTGTTACTTCAGGGAAAGTGAGAGGTGGGACTAATTTAGTTTCCATACTGTGAATATCTTTATTTTTCCTGACCCTGGGTCATATTTTTTAGCAGTCAAATCATCTTTTATTTAAAGTGAGAAAAGGGGTAGCAGTTTTCTTTCTATACAGCAATGCTCACCACAAAATGCTGCACTACGCTATGCACCATCCAGCTGGAGAAAACTCAGCTTATCTCTACCCTTTTCCTGTTGTTGCATTAGGATGACCTAAAACTGGGAAAGCATTTTCCCATGTTTAGGAGCCTTTATGAAATTTAGTCAGAGAGTGAGGGAGGAGATGGGGTGGAGGTGGGTGAAAGTTTGTTGGCGTGCTAGAGGGAGGCTAGGCCTGAAGCTAGATGAAGGGGATATTGAAAGATAATTGGCTTAGGAGGGGGTGCGGTCGTTGATTGGCTGAAGCTTGAGAGAGGGACATTGCAGGAGGTCCTGGTGAAGCTGATAAGAGTCTTTCAGATTCATAATGACAAAAAAATATTTTATTTCATCTTGTCTTGCCAATGATTAACATCTGTAAAGCATTACTTGAATAACAATAAGGCCAGGTGAAGGTGTCTAATATGTAGAGAAACTGAAATAAATTATTTATTTCATCATTAAATACAGTTTGATATTAAACATAGGTTAATACCAATTAAAACATAGATGTTTCCTCTCCTATTTTTGTCTTACCAATGGCATAACTATCAGTAAGCAGAGACTGAAGTTGCTTAGGGACCCCGTCACTGACATCTGGCAGGCCCCCTACGCAATTGTGGACTAGGACGTTTATCTTCAGATGTAATGGTGCGAAAAACTCATCTTAAACCCACCGGATACTAGTTTGACTGACCGGACCTTATTTATATCCCAACACATGCCAGATTACAACTTGATGGTGAGCCATTTAAACACGACACCAATAGAAATGTGTGTTGTACTTCATATGTGGCCAACCCAGATAATGTTGCTTATGGGCCTGTTGTTGTGTCGTTACATCATTGTGTTCACTCTGCAATATCTTCCATTATCTTCCAGGTGAAAAACGGAATGCTGAACAAGCAAAGCAGTACATCCTTAAAATGTATGAGCAGCGGGCCGTCAACAAAGAAACCCGGGCTTGGAAGACCTTGTACCCACACTTCACCTGTGCCACAGACACCAACAACATTCGCAAGGTTTTCATCGACATAAGAGACACTGTGCTGCTGAAGTCCCTAAGGGACTATGGAGTCCTTTGAAAGGAATACCATATGTAGAAGCAAAAGAAAAAAAACAATGGTTCCCAAATTAATATGGAGAAGACTGAAGGCTGTATTTGAAGTACAAACTGAGCTCTCTTTTCAACATGAAGAATAGTTTCCTTAAGAAATCCTCTTCACCTTTGGTGCCTTTTACTGATGAAGCAAGTGGAGTTTCTACTTCTTTGCTAAGCAATGATTTTGAGAACATCAACATCTACTAAAAGAGCCAGAATCATGTAGCTTTAATCACACCTCTGTTTCTGTGTAGGATTGTTTTTTACAGAAGAAGTGTTCGGGTCACGCAGTGTGCGTGTTATTCTGTAATTGAGGCTGGAGTACAGATGCTATGAAGTGTGGTGTGGCCATTAATGCTGGAGATAGAGGTCATACATGGCTGCTCCTCTGCTGCTGTGGTCAAATTAAACAATTTCATGTATATCCACCAATTTCAGACAGAGAAGATGTCTATACACACTAAAATGCAAACTATTAACATAGAAGGTCACCAGAAGAAGCAGTTAATTTTAGTTGCACTCCTTTTCTTTATCCTCTTTCAATAAATCTTGGTATTGTGGTAAATTATTGTGAAATTCCAGAGAATGCAAGCAAAGAAGAAGCTGCAAGACCTCAGTAAATTTTAATGATGATGATTTTATCATTACATGTTTAAAAGCTGCTCCATCAATTCTGATGGGGTACTTATTCACTAATTACTCTCTAGTTTCTGATTTTTGACCTGTCAATTCAGATTTTGAACCATTTTTAGTCTCTTCTTATTTCTTAGTGTAGCAGCTTTTAATTCAGTGGTAAAATTAAGAACATCTCTATTAATAAATCATAGCAAGTGTCCCAAACCTTTATCTGTATGTTATTAATTGCTTAAATGTGCACCAGCATGCATATTCTTGGTTAAGGAAATAGACATTGAAATTTATGTAAGCTCTTAGTTTTTGAAGCATTTAATGCATAAGAGAAAAAATGGTTTATATGTCAGTATTTGATGTTTTTATCACTAATCAGAGCCTATTAAGAGTAATTTAGTAGAACAGATTGTCATAAAAGGACAACTAAGCTGATAGTCTACAGCGTCCTCCCTGCCACCTAATGTTTTCAGTGACAAACACTCCTGGTAGGTCCTTCATGACCCAAAGGATGGATATATCGAAAAGAACCTCATTATTAAGAGTAAACATGGTTGATTGTCTTGGATGCTATTCGCATCATTATCTTCCTGAAATATCAGAACATTTAAAACTGAAAATCAAAGTTACTTTGACTTAAGTCTGAAAATTTTTAATCATCCACTTGATAAACTGGATAGTATGCATTAACCTGGTTCTTTATATTTGCATGGAGCTCTTTGCTCAGCCAATTTTCCTTTCTGCAAGTGTGAATAAACACTTCAAAATGTAAACACCAAGCTTTAAGGCAATATTTCTGGTTGCTTTTTATTATCTTTACAGTTTTATGATGTTTTTTTTAGAAGTGTCAAATCAAATACTGTCAAAGCTTGACAATAAAAGCAGAGGTGATCTTTGAGACAAAGACACTGTTAAACTGAGAAGCTGTATAAAGAATCAAAAACTGTTCAAGTACCACAGGAATGCTGAGGAGCAAAATGTCCACAAATATAGAACTACTTGAAACTGCTAGAATACTGTACTTGGATTCTTAAGTAAAGATAAACTGTTAATTAGTGTTTATACTAGTTTAAATTTAATGTTCTACCTCTGTATGTAGTTGATTTTGAGAATGTAAAGGGATTAAAAAAACAAAGAAACAAAAAAACTAAACCTAATCTGAAACTGACCTGCATGTAAAGATCATATGATTTGTCAATGGAGCTTTTTTATCCATATTTCTGACTCTTTGCAATGCATTTAAATACAAATATTGACTCTGTATGTTAACTAATTTGTATGTCTTGCAACTGTAATAATTGTTGACCTGCTGGACAAAGACTCTAAACACAGAGTGGGTTTGTCGGTAAATTACTTCCCTCCCTTTGGAGTAAGTACATTATTTTGTATAGTCTGGTGGAGGAAGATTAAAAACATGTTTTTATAGGTTGCTCCTGTCTTCTTGACTGCTTGTGTGGTGTTAGAAGCTCACTGATACCCAGACTTGCAATAAGATCACAGCATGATTTGCATTGGATGGCTACGTGAACACAGCCGCCATTTCCATATGTTGTGAATTTCTGTTATGCAGACTGGAAAAACAACGCAGATGACAAAACTTTTGCTCTGGTGTCAGTGTGTAATACCCAAATGTCTCATTTTCTGCCATCCAGCTGGCAGGACAAAGCCAGTTCCTCATTAGTGAAGGACAGATCGCTTCTATAAACAAAGGTCTGTCGGTTTTTCCCCACTGACAAAAGCACGCTAGAGATACACTACATAACATACAGAACACACATTTACTGATGCACTACATTAGACATTTTGCCTAAATAACCCCAAAACAGCACTTATGTAAGGGACACAGAGAGCATGAGAAAGTTACCCTGGTGCTGGCAATACAAAGATGTTTATATGTTGGATTTGTACATGCAAAATAATTTTGTTTTCCTCTAGTCAGCTGTGGTAGTGTCTATGTTTGTGGGATTGGGTGGGTGTGCAGAAGTGCACTCGTACTTACACTAGTTTCCAGTGTCTCTTGCTGACCTGGAATCAGGTCGCAGGGACAGAGACACCCATGCTTTCGAACCCCAGACTCCTTCTCTAGCTCCTCTAGGGGGATGAGCCAAGGCACTTAGTCCTACTAGCTGATCAACATCCCCTGGCACAGTGGGACATGCCTGAAACCCCTCCAGAGGGGAGGACTGTTCAAGACACCTGAGTAATGTGGAGGAAAGGTGGCATTACTTTAAATCCATGCCAGGTGGGTCGAGCTCCTAACTTTATCTCTAAAGCCGGGTGTACACTGTGCGATTTTTTCAGTTGTTGCATGCAGCTACAGCTCACACTGTACGACTAAACCGCAGGGTTTAGTCACACAGTGTGAATTCACAGCTCACGATTTATGTTCGGCCTGACGCTCTCATGCTATCTATGTGCTCACACTGTACGACTAAAAACCACGTCTGACTCCGCAGTGAGATGGAGCTGCTCTGACTCGTCTATCTGGAAGCCAAACAAAAAGAAGGAGAATATGAAGCTCACTTTAGTGAAACGTGCTGCCTTGGCAATTTGTGCAATTTTGTGCTGAAAGCCGCAAAAAGAAAAGGCAACGACGTATTTGGAAAAAAGACATGGCTGAGCAAACGTGGCTACTACGGTCTGTCAATTTAACAGACAGAACTGCATTTCACTCATTGCACCCCAGCCACGCTTCTGTGTTTAATGAAGAATCCTTGTTTGCACATGCAAACTGAGCAGCTTGCCCACGACAGTGGGCCACGACACCTCATGATTCCTGATTGGGAGGTGGTCGTGAGAGGCTGATCGCCGCTCGTAACCCCCTGTACACTACATGACTCACAACTCACGATCAAAAGATTCTCGCACGACTCAAAACTCGCCCTGAAAATCGCACAGTGTATGCCCGGCTTTAGGGAATTCCCAGCCACATGTTGAGAATGCTAATTTCACCCACTTGTACCTTTGATTTTGTTCTTTCGGTCATGATCAAGATTTGATAACGATAGCTGATGGTAGGAATGTAGACCCACCAGTAAAGCTTTGCTTTTTGGCTCAGCTCTGTTTTTATTAGAACAGTTTAGCATCAGCTTTACAGTGGCATCCGCACTGTTCCATCTGTCGACTTCCCACTCCATTTACTCCTCATTCTGAACAGGACCCCAAGATACTTGAATTCCTCTACTTGAGGCAGAAACTCCTCCAAGCTGGAGACTCCAACCCCCTTTTTCTGATCGAGAACCAATAACCTGGACTTGGAGGAGTTGGTATACATTCCAGTACTTCGCATTCAGCTGTAAACCATTTCAGCGCATGCTGAAAGTCAAAAGATGGTGAAAGCCAGCAGAACCATGTGAGCTGCAAAGAGCTGACACAAAATCTGTTTTCTTCAAACCAGAGTCCCTCCAGCCCTTCGCTGCACCTAGAAATCCTTTCCATGAAGGTCATGGACAGGACCACTAACAGAGAGCAGCCCTGTTGGAGTTCAATATGCACTGGGAATAGTTCACATGTGGGGAATGAGGACCAGACTCCTGCTATGCTTGTACAGTGACTGGTTGGTCCCTAGTAAAGGGGCACTGGAACGCAAAGTTGTGATCGGCAAACAGTTACATCCCCTTCAACAGCTGGGTGTCCAAGGGGGAGTATATATTTAATTTTTGAAACAGAATTTGGTAAAGTCATGCCTAAAAATGCAAATTTTTAAGTGACCTTTTACAAGAGCATGAAAATGTTTGATTTCTAAAGTAACAGATCAATAAAAATCCTGTTAATATCTTTAATATATATATATTTTTTATTATTATTTATGAAGAAAAATATTTTAATTCATTTGATGTATGCATTGAAAATAACAATAACATATTCACATTTATAAAAAAAATAAATAAACTGGTGGCATTTTTGACTCCTCCTAACTGCTTCAGTAGCAATTAATTCCATTTATATTCTGCTTTCGTAAGATGTTTAGATTTGAGTACTAAATATTATGGGTGAAGTCTTTCGTAAGCAGTTCAAGCTGTACAGCAGGATTGTCTGTTTATTTACCTCTACCGCTGCACCTACCTTACCATATCTGTGTAGCCCTGGACATGCCTGCTAGTCATGTCCTTCAGATTAAAAAACAGCCCAGTCTCTATATAATGCCTTTTGTACTGTCACTAAGTATAATTGTATCCCACAAAGATACACAACAAGTCTCTGACAGAAACTGCAGTTTTTTGCTCCATCTGAGTGCTAAAAATGCTGATGACAGCTGGAACAGGGATCAGGCTTTCTGTAGATGAGGTCAAACGTTTAACCCTACCTGAGGAGAATTACTCAGGAGAGAGAGACACAATACCATTATCATGGAAAAATTGTGTCGCCATCTGACCCAGGGTGGAGGGGAACTTAATAATTATAATTGTGGGCTTGTCTTATTTTCCTTTATTGCGCAAAAGTATTGCTCAAGCAAAAAACCTGCTAGACAAGGTTAGATGTGAGTCTTACTGATAACTTAGAAGCTTAGAAGCAGTTTTTGTCCACGGACTTCTGAATTTCGGCCAACCCTGTTTCTGCTCTGTTTTGCCTGTCCTGTGTTTCCGGGCTGTTACCCAGATTCAGCCTGATGTCGACCTTGGACCTGTCTTCTGACCACGGCTTGGATTAACCATCCTAGATCCATCAGTTCGCCTGTGTGCTCTGGCTGCTGAAAGACGCTGCACCTCTTCTGGATCTCTGGTCCCAGCTCCACAACAAAGAACGGACTTCTGCTCCTCTGGATTTCACTCCTTCTTCTGGGCTAGGACTGAACTTTGGTTTCATACTAATTGCTGTTCCTCGTTTGAGTTTTGAAGTCACTGACCTGAGCCTCTACTCCTGCAGAGAATCCAGTGAGCCCGCCGCAGCTGAGGAGCAACATTAATATAATAAACGCTTTCAATCTTCCCACTGTTTGTCTCTCCTGAATTCTAGATCCGTTCTGAGCTCATTACACTGTTTTGATGCGTCACACTTTTGCACCTTTCTACTTTTCTGTTAGCATAGCAGCAAGGGTGCAATTGCAACAGAGCTATGTTTTAACAATGCCCTTTCTGATGTCCTAAGTGTAATTAATTTAGGTTTAAAACACCAACACCTTATAGCTTTAGTGTAATTTCTTTTAAAAAGGACATTCACTATTTTTGGCTTGAC